TATCCTGACCACAAACACTAAACAAATTTTTATTAGTATACTGTTGATTTTCAAATGACGTAATAAAAAATCTGGTTACAATAATTTATTATTTTGCTGAATTATATTTGAGAAAAAGAACCTAGATGCCTCACCTATTTTAATACTACTATATTCTAGATCACATCATAAAATACATAGAAAAAAAATTAAAAGATAAGTTTCCCACAGAGAAAAGTTATTTGTTATATATCATTGATATATTAGCAAAACATTTTAACACTCAAAACATGAGAATTTATGAGATTGGGCTTGGGGAGAAGCGTGTACTCCACTAAAGTGCTGCCGGTGCACTTCTGCACAAGGCCCCTCAGTGACGTTAGTCCACCGGAAGTGGAGTAGACCGATGAACTGTGTGTTATCCGTCATTTCAGAAACCGTGGGTCATGCCTGCATAGGTTTTGAGGGTCACCTTGGCTGGATTTACCAATGTTTTTAGTTTTTCAGCAGTAAGAGAACCAAACATTGGGGGAACTAAAGGATCGCGGTCTCCATGTTACTGGGGAATAGAAATATCTTTGTTAACACCACTGGTAGGACTCTGTGGAAACGAAGCCCAAAGTGGAAGCCAGCAGCTCAGCGCAGTGCTGCCAGCCAGCTTCTGCTGGGTGATGGGTGAGGGCGGTGTATAAGGACAGAGCTCCTCCTGGAGAAAATTCTCCCAAAACGCTTCTGCTAGAAGAAATGCCATTCTCCACCTCTTGGTCTATTAAAGTGTTTACATTTTCGGCTGCCCGTTGAATTCCAGGTTCATCTTCCCGAGCATCTGATGAAAGCCCAATGATATCAAACCAAGCAGGCATAGCCATGCTCACATTCAATGTTACAGACGTAACAGACGCCTGTGGGCAGGTACATTTGATATGTGAACTCCTGATTCAACACATATTCCATTTCTCAGTTAATCCTCAGAATAACATAAAACATGTGAAAATATCTGGGAACTGGAATCTGAGACCAGGGTGCTGTGTTTTTTCTAGATCAGCATGTTCTTTTACCCACTAACAAGAAAGTTACATGAAGGCAATCAAGGAAGAAGTAAAGCTTCTGTTATATATAAAACTTGTCCTTGTCTTAATAAATGATTTAAAATTGACATGCTTTTCCATGAGTATTGTTTCAGCTGTTTCTCAAAGGATGTCCTCGTGGTATCCCTGGGCTACTGCAAGAAGAACTGAAGTATCCCATCATAACTCCTCCATGCTCCTCTTCCCAGGGCTGTTCTAGGTTGAGCAGTATAGCTGTTATCTCAGGCAAACGAGCTGCTATGGGTACTGTGCTTGTACATCAAGGCCCAACAAGCATTCAGTGAGTACCTACTATGTGCCAAGTACGGCTCTGTGGGCTTGTGACTTGAAGAACAATACGATTCTAATCCTGTCCTCAGAGGACTTGTGGCTCAACAGCAGAGGACAAAGCCACTTACTTACACTAACAGGTAATATGGATTATGACAGAGCCAGGCACAGCAAGCTACAAGAACACGGAGGAGAAAATCTAGCTTGACTCGGAGGTTAGAGAAGACTGTGCTGCTCAAGCCAAAGGAATGTGCACCAAGTACAAAAAATAAACCAGCGCTTTCAATAGATTTCTGGGAAAGGTTGAGAGGGGGGAATCAGGGCTCCTAATTAGGGGGCAATGAGGAGCACTAAGGCAACTTCCTGAGGGTTTACAGGAAAGGACAAGTGAAGTAGGCACTTGCCACTCACTGAGCAGGAGCTTGAACTTAGAGCTGGTGGCGAGGCCATGGTGGGAAGTTGTTTCTGCCTAGCTCCTCTCTAAGCCATTGTCTATGAAGTTGGTAGTAGCCGTGGGGTCACTGTCACTCGGCAGTGTTAGCAGCCGGGAAGACGAGCTGGGCACAGAGCAGACAGGGGAGGCCAGACCGCAGCCTGTCCAGCAGCTCCATCTGATCAGCTGGACGTCTTCTCACCAACAGTGTGACAGTCACAACCTCACTTTCCAAGTCTTGAACACATTTGGGAAAATCCAGTTTCCAACTTAAGCTGACACAGGACTGTCCCAGAAAATAAAATGAACAAAGGGGACAACAATCTATATGTGTGAGAATGAAATCAGCTCACCCACCCAGTGCAGAAATATGTGGCGTGTAGGCCGAAGAGCCCTTACGTGCCCTGCTATGAGGCTCCATGCATTCAGTGCGGGGGAAACACTGAAATAGGGTGAAATTTTAAATTCTACATTTTTAGCTCTTTTCTCCTACTTCAGTACAACAGTTTGGTTGCCATACACAGACATGAATGAAAATATGCAAGCTAGTGCTATAGCGCCAAGCGAGGAAGTGGCTGTGTTAGCTGTTACAGTGTCTTATCACACTGAGAAAACTGGCCCACCAGGACTCTGGAGTGGCCTTTATGACAGACACCAGGCATTGTTTGTTATATAAAGGAAAATAGAAGACAAATCTGCAAGAACAGAGCTGGCGTTGGCAGTCTGTCTCTTGGTCTCGCATCAAGAACTGCTGAGGGGTCCACCCCGTGGAAGCTGTCCAGCCTTGGCCTGAAGTCTGTGCTGCTCTGGAAAAGCTTATTCTCGGACTCTGCTACTTTTGATAATAATGTACAAGAAGTGATATTTGAATCTTTGTCAGGGAAAAGGGTTTATTTTCCTCCTCAGTCCCAGTTCTCAAAATCATGCTTTCAATACCAGCTCTGTTCCTTCTCAGTGACACCTCTTTCCCTTTCTGCTTCACTGAGAAAAGTCTGAAGTGCTCAGCCTGCAGAGAAGAGGGAAAAGCACTGTGGCAGGTGGAGAGGGGGTTGATGAAGGTTGACCAGGATACTAGGGTGAAACATGGATTCCTTAGGAATTATACCAAGAACAAAATAAAGGGCACTCTTAGAGATCAGGTAACTGATGAAAGGCATAAATACAGGTAAGATGTAGGCTCGGGAGATAGCTCAGCAGTCTAACGCCTGCCTGGCAAGTGCAAGGACCCAGTTTCGATCCCTGGAACCCCAGGCATGCTGTGCCAGCCCCAAATGTGGGCATGGTGGTGCACACCTGTAATCCCAGCACAGGGGAGGCTGAAACAGGAGGATCACTATGAGTCCAAGCTGCATAGAGAGACCCTGTACTCAACAAATAATTTTTAAAAATACAGATAAGATGTAAAATAAGAGAGACAGAAGAAATGGATACTTTTTCATTGCCAGCTATGCTCCAAGTAAGTGGTATAATGTGTTTTACTTAATATTCTAAACATTTTAGCATTCATTAGAACTTGGAGATTAGAACCCCTTATTCTTGAAGAGGTTAGGCAACTGTTCCAAGATCCTATAGCTTACTGGTTATAAGCCATATTCAAAACCAGAGCTATTGCTCTGTGAAGCTAGATTTGCATTGTCTAATGCTTGCCAAATTTTCTACTTCATAAACATTTAATTTGTCTTCTGCAGATTAAAGGAACGCTTCTAAAATTGTGTAGTTTTGTACTGAATGAACAAGTTCTGGAATTTCTTCTTTATTTGAGTTCTTAAGAGTTGCTTTTACTATTCTTTCTGTTAAACAAATCCTTCACCTTATTGGCCTATTGTAGTGGTAATTGCTCTTAGTCACAAATATAATTAGGAGCATTTCTTGAAAACTTATTAACCTCCCCTACCAAATGCTGCTGGGTAAGTTTCTTGGCTGTCCCTTTGGAATTTTGTCTCATAATTTCTCCTTCCTCATAATCACTATGTAGAGCTCCTTCTTCAAATAATTATTTATTTTAAACAATTTCCAACCATTTATCAAGTGGAGAGAAATGTATGAAAAGAATACCACCAAAATAATATCTATTTTCTGATAGCTTGTACTAACTTTGTAGTAAAAAATAAATGTGATATGTAAATCCAGTGTTTTTGATTTTCACCTGTAATTAATTAATTGTCCGGTTAAATAATCCCATACTGAGAAGCAAACTTAAATAACTGGATTTGTGAATAGTGTAGAGTAGGCTCCTTGGTGCTATGCTCTTGGGGATCGTACCCCACGGAGGAGTAGTTTCTATGAAAAGTATAAAATCATTCACTGATTGCTTGTATGTCATCTTTGCTGACAGAGGAGAACTCTGCATTCTAGTTCTCTATCTGCTACAAGATAAATTTCTTATAAAGTGACTGGTTCCTTCCTGTGTAAGTAGCTTTCAAACTATGCATTCAGTTTATAAGAATTTTCTTAGTGGTTGGATAAACAAGCCAAGATAAGCAAATCAGTGGTTTTCTCCTATCAGATAGCCTTTCTAAGATGTGTAAGCCCTGGTCTTTGGAAAATATGGGCTGGGGTGTAGCTCAGTGACAGAGTGTTGACTTTGCATGAATGACACCCTGGCACCAGAAAAAAGTCCCAGTTCAGCAACTCCAGAACCTGCTTAAGGAGTGCAAGTGTGCAGCCTGTACAGCTAAAATCGGACATCTTTTTATTCCTTTAATTCTGCTGAATTCTTCTTTTGAAAAGAGATGAAACAATAGAATATGTTAATTTCCTCCTTTCCTTATTAATTTGTTTAATTATCAAAGGAAGGACCTTGGTTAGTTATTGTGGGAGAAAATTACTAGTTACTCCTTACTCAAGCAATTATTCATTAACAAGAACTATAATTGGTTACCTGTTTGACTCACAGCTTTGAATCTCATTGTGCATTTGACAATAAGGACATTACTAAAGTGGAGCAGCTCTTCTCGGTCATGTTATGCTGATGACTATGGCACAATCACTGTTTTCTTTGAGGACATTGTCTACAGTGGTTTAAAAAGAGCTTCATGAGACAAGTCAGGAAACTTGAATCTCATGCCCTATTTGATTTTCAGGACATATTTGATCCACTACCCAGTGAAATTATGCTAGGTTCAATTGTTCTTTAGTTTCTTCTCCTTGAGCTCACTTTCTGATAAGATTCTTTTTGTTGTTGTTAAGGAAGGTGGCCACATCCCAGAGAGGAAAGTGCAGAAGCCATAATGAGAGCTGTCCTCCCCGACGGTGCTGGAGCGCACCCTGCAGCCTTCTGCTACCAGGTGAACGGGTCTTGCCCCAGAACAACCCACCCTCTGGGCATCCGTGTGGCCATCTACCTGGCCTGTGCAGCAGGCATGCTGCTCACCATCCTGGGGAACTTGTTTGTGGTGTTTTCTGTGTCCTACTTTAAAGTGCTTCACACTCCCACCAACTTCTTGCTGCTGTCCCTGGCCCTGGCTGACATGTTACTGGGTCTGCTGGTGCTTCCCTTAAGCACCGTTCGCTCTGTGGAGAGCTGCTGGTTCTTCGGGGACTTCCTCTGCCATCTGCACACCTACCTGGACACACTCTTTTGCCTCACATCCCTCTTCCATCTCTGCTTCATTTCCATTGACCGCCACTGTGCCATCTGTGACCCCCTGCTCTACCCCTCCAAGTTTACAGCCCGGGTGGCCCTCAGGTGCATCTTGGCAGGGTGGGGGGTGCCAGCAGCTTACACTGCCTTCTTCCTCTACACAGATGTGCTGGAGAGGGGACTGAGCCAGTGGCTAGAAGAGCTGCCTTGTGTGGGTAGTTGTCAGTTGCTGTTCAATAAGTTTTGGGGCTGGCTCAACTTCCCTGCGTTCTTTGTTCCCTGTGTCATTATGATCAGCTTGTACATAAAGATCTTTGTGGTTGCGAGCAGGCAGGCTCAGCAGATCAGCACCTTGAACAAAAGCTTGGCTGGGGCTGCCAGGAGAGAGAGAAAAGCTGCCAAGACCCTGGGCATTGCTGTGGGCATCTACCTCTTGTGCTGGCTTCCCTTCACTGTGGACACGATGGTGGACAGCCTCCTCAACTTCATCACACCACCACTGGTCTTTGACATCTTCATCTGGTTTGCTTACTTTAACTCAGCCTGCAACCCTATCATCTATGTCTTTTCCTACCGGTGGTTCAGAAAGGCGCTGAAACTGACCCTGAGCCGGGAAATCTTCTCAATGCAGAAATCCACTACTGATTTGTACCAAGAATGAGCCAATCTAGGCTGGAAATCAGCAATGTGAGGAAGACCCTCTAGGAAGGATGAGAGATCCTGTGGCTAGGTGGTGTCAGGAGATTGGGGGCAGCTTGCACAGCTTAAGTGGAGGAGAACCACCAGCTTCTTGGCTTGACAGAGACGAGAACTCCTGTCACTTAGTATTCTCATGAGAAGCAGGAAAAGTTCCGGGAAGTAATCTAAATATTTGCTAGGGAATCCAGAGCACATCTTGGCTTCCTTCAAACAGCCAAGATGCAGAGACGGAAGGAGCTGGACTTGTGCTCTAGATTTCTGGGTCTCTCCCTGGCTCTGCCACCTGTGCCAGTTGGGTAAGACTCTGCTGGATTTGAATTGTCCATTTCTCTGCCATAATATCTTCTCATTTGGAAAAGTCAGAACTTGTACTGTTTTCTCTTTAAGGTTTCCTGAAGCTATGGTACTATACATAGAATGTAACTTGGAGAAACTATTTGAATCATGATTTTATTTCATACTTTATAATTATACCCAAGTATGTGAAATATCTTTTCAAAATGTTGACTTTAGAATCTGTCTCTTGCAATCCAACCCCCAATAGAGATTTGTGATTCAGCTTTGTTTCCAGAGTTGTTTTTGTGATCTCTGTGTGTGATATTCTTTAAATCTAAATATATTTTTTCTTTTCTTTGTATTTCACATTTTTGTTTTATTTGAAAGAGAAAAAATAAATAAGAACAAGGACAGAAACAAAGTAACAAATATTGAATACATGTGGAGTGTTTAGGTGATAGAGATCCAGATCTCATCATTTTTATATTTGTTCCTTTAAACTTTTACCACACAAGTGAGACCTGCTATCTCTCCACCAGTACCATACAAGGCATTTCCCCTGAATTGAACCACATCACAGCAGCTGTGACTCATAATGACAATAAATCTACAAGCAGGGTTGACACAGAGAAGCAAGCAAGAGAACTGATGTCTTAGAAATAAAGGTACATGGTGTCACGATATAATGCTCATGTCCAGTGAACCTGGGAAGGGGAACGAGAACCTCACTGCAGTGGGCACCACGAAGGGGAGCGCAAGCTGGTGGGCACCTAGGGGAGGCTCTGACCCCCTAGACTTGAAGCCCTGCTCCCCATCATTGTTGATCAACAACAGAAATAAGAAGCAAGTCTGAGAGCCAGTGAGATAGCTCAGTGGACCAAGTGCCTGCTTTGGCAAGCGCAGAGACCAGGGTCCAATCCTGGTTCCACCTAGTGGAAGGCTACGGAGACTGGGAACATGCCTGTGATCCCAGCGCTGGGGAGGCTGAAAGCAGGAGGATCACCATGAGTCTGAGCTGCATAGTGAGACCCTGGACCAAATACATAAATGGAAAAAAAAAAAAAGCAAATGTGATGCACTCAGCACATCTGCTTGGGTCCTTGGACAGAGCTACTTTGAATATCAGTTCCCTGAGTTCTAAGTAGAATGTGTGTTGTAATACTTTACTAGAGGCACTAGTATATTGATCCTGAGAGAGAATTAACTAATTCAAGGTGAATGTTTTTAATGTTCTGTGCTGTAGACTCTTGACAGCCTGGTAAAGACCAATTTACATCAACTCAGAATAAGACTTACAAGTGAGGGGGCTTGTGGGTTACCTCAGTTGTCTAAAGCACTTGCTTAGGCAAAGTCAGTCAGGCACAGGGCACTGCCGTTCAAAACCTAGCACCACATGCTGCACCAGACCAACCCTTAGCCAGCCAACAAAAAAAAAGAACTCCTTCCCAAGTTTTTAAGGGCTGGCCTGATAGCTCAGCAGACTAAATGCCTGCTTAGGCATTAGGCAGAGTGCAGAGGCCAGGGTTCAATCCCCAGGTCTGCTGTTCTGGCCCTGTCCCCGGGGCATGCTGAGATGGCAATTGAGACTGGGCGTGGTAGCGTGTGCCTGTAATCCCAGTGCTTGGGAGGCTGAAAACAGGAGAATTACTACAAGTCTGATCTACATAGTGAGACTCTGTAGACTCTGTAGATCCTGTCCTAAATATAGAAAAAAAAAAGAGAGAAAGATTTACAAGTGAATAAAATGTTCTAAAAACAGAATTGTAAGGGAAAATAACTATCTTGAAATCCACCTGACAAAATATCTTAGAAATAGCCAACTCTGTTATATAATACACATGTGCCTTTCTGACAGCATTAAGGTCTGCTTGCAGATACAGTTTAACTTTTAATTCCAACCACTTGAGATTATAAATGAAATTTGCAATGCCTATCACAACTATACTGTAATACAAAATTACTGATCTGTCATGGTGAAAAGTCAGAGGTCATAGTAACACTGCTGTGATTTTTGCCCATGTTCAATATTTTAAAAAATGTATTTATTAAAGGGTCTACAGGGTCTCACTATGTAGATTGGACTCGCAGTGATTCTCCTGTTTTCAGCCTCCCAAGCACTGGGATTACAGGCGTGCGCCATCATGCCTGGTTTCGGTGGTTGGCTCAGGATTAGCCAGCACGGCATGTGGTACTAGAGATCAAACCCGGGTCCTTGCACTTGCCAGGCAAGCACTGAGACCGCTGAGCTATCTTCTCAGCCCTCTTGTATTGTTCCCTTAATGAAGAAGATGATCAGATGTTTGTTTGAAGAATCAGCCTGTCAGCAGGTGGACTAAATAGCTGCAAGGGAGTGGGTCTAAGAAATGCATTTTTATTTTTTATTTTTATTTTGTTTCTGAGAAAAAAAGTATGTATTTAGAATTAGCCAGCTGGACTCAGTTTAGATGATCCCAATTTTGTTGACAACATCCAATGCATCATAATCAGGAGCCAGTCGAACACATGCCTTCTTCTCTCCATCAGACCTGATTAGGGTATTGACCTTGGTAACATCAATGTCATAGAGATTCTTTACAGCTTGTTTGATTTGGTGCTTATTGACTTTGACATCTACAATGAATATGAATGTGTTTTTGTCCACAATCTTTTTCATGGCTGACTCCGTGGTAATGGGAACTTGATGATGGCATAGTGGTCAAGCTTGTTTCTCTGGGAGTCCTCTTTTGAGGGTATTTGGGCTGCCTCTGGAGCTGCGTTGTCTTGCGATGGTGGAAGGTGGGCGACATTGGTATCTTCTTTTTGTGGCTGTGGATGCCCTTCAGCACAGCCTTCTTGGCCTTCAAAGCTTTTGCTTTGGCTTCAGCTTTAGGAGGGGCAGGCAATTCCTTCTTTGCCTTTGGCACCATCTTGGTAAAAAGGCCAAGAAATGCATCTTTTTTTTTTTTTTTCGGAACCAGGGATTGAACTCAGACCCTTGTGCTTGCCAGGGAATTGCTTATTTTACTGAGCCATCTCCCCAGCCCAAGAAATGCATTTTTAGCTGAAACATTAGTTTAAAAATTAACACCTGCTATTAAAAGAATAACAGAATGAAAAACTACTTGTAGGGAACTTGAACATGTACTGAAAATATACCTTCAAATGTTCAACAGGTTAAGGATGTTGATGTACCAATACCTCATGTTCTCTCACATGTGTAAGCTCAAATTGAATGGAGTAGAACTAAGTAGAGTAAAATTAGTAGAGGACAGGGAGTGCAGGTAGGGAGGGGGCATAAAGGAGTTGAGTGACAAGTGCCAAAACACAGGTAAAAGGAGCAGCTTCTAATGTCTCTGGCATTATGGATGACTGTTGTTCACAATAACGTAGTATCTGTTTTGGAAAGACTTGCAAGAGAGTTCAAAACTTCTGATCATGAAGAAATGCTAAGAAGGTGAATATGCCAGGTATCTCAGTTTGATCATATACTTTATGCATGTATTGAAATACCACATTATATCTGATAATTACGTAGTTATTGAATATTTATTTTAAAAAGTAAAAAAAAATCACCTTAATTTCTACCCTTTGGAAGGAACTGAGCTCAGATTTGTGCCCCCAAAGCCCTCCTATGGCATACCTGCACTCCTAAGACACTGGTCCACCTCTTTTCCAGGAGCCAACTTTGGAGGACTCATGTAGGTTGGTATTGTTGGACATGGTAACTGTACCTTGGGATGATAATTTTATATATTTGAAATGATGTGGATTACATGCTTCACTTTCTTATTATTCTTTTTTTCTGTATGTTTTTAGGGAAGGGTCTACATGGTGTTCAGGGTCTTACTACTAGATCAGACACATAGTACTTCT